CGTGTGTGTGTGTGTGTGTGTGCGTGTGCGTGTGTGTGTGTGTGTGTGTGTGTGTGTGTGGGTACCATTCCAGTTGATTTCGTTCACTGAAATCGTGTGGGCAGAGAAAGGAACAGCTAGAATCTAAGAATAAACAGCGACAGTCTTTGAGCACCAGAATGACACAAAGAGACCAAAGAGTTTGTCCTATAAAAAGTTGTCTGAGGCACGAGAATATGTTCGAGAATGTGAGTCAGAGAGAGCGAGTGAATGTGGAAGGATGTTTCCTGCAGGGGTTGTCAGGGGTAATGGTGTTTCGCCATGACCTATATATGGCTTTGCTGTCTTGAGAGGGCACACTTCCCAGAATCCTCCACTGTCAGCCTGGCTGTTTTGCTCATCATATGGCCTTCCCACTTAAATGACACATTTCCTTTCAGAAATAACGGGCAAAAATGATCCATCCAGTGTAATTCTACAAGGTTGGCTGTTTCAGATCTGTGTCATTTGGTCCTGATCTTCTTCTCTTTAAACACTGTAGCATTGGGATGGAGAGTTGGCAGAGAATATATATTGAATTAAGTTCATTTGTTTCTAAATGTAGTATGTTTAATGCAGAATGAGTTTAAGTGGACAAATAAAATGTCAGATCAAGCAGTCAAGTGAAATGAAAAAACAAACATACATGAAAAGGAATGAAACAAAATATGAACAACTTCGTTATGAGGCAGCAGCAGTTAGCAAACAAACTTAATGCCTCCATGCCACTTGGTTTCAGTTTAAAATCTGAGATCAGTGGATAAAGAAGAGCCAGCAAAACACAAACTAAAGCCGTTTCTCAAACAATGACTTGTGGTACATCATCAGTCATTGCGCAAGTACTGTTCCAATTCAAAGTTCACATCTAGCCAAGTACAGTTCAAATCCCCGGATGTGTTCTTGCTCTGCCCCTTTTATTGAGGATGCATCAAGAGGTGACTTGTGCGAACTTGAGGCAGCCAGGTATCCCACAATGCATTTCGCACCAACCAGCCAGCGTTAATTTTCAAAATACTGCTGTTATTGTGTCATGAAATGCAGTTTTGTTAGTTGTTCAGGCGAGAATGTAGTTGTTTAAAACTCAAATCTTCAGTTTATTTATTAAGATATAGATGCCTATTTGAAAATTTGCTTCGCTGATTTCTGAGATTTGAGCTCCAGGCGATCAGTGCTCATGTATCTCACCGAGAGCAGCCTTACCGCGGCTAGTCATTCTGACATTTGCTGCTAGCTCGGATGTCTCTGTAGTGGTTAAACATGAGATATAATTCGTTTTAGGTATATCTAACAGGCAGTGTTTGGTCTCATGAATCTATTATTTGTTCCTGGTCATATCGTTTTGGCTGAGCACATAAAAGTTTCATAACTTTTTATATTGTAACGGGGTGAAGAATCACACGACAAGTAATCTCAATCAATACCCCGGAGGGTGGATTTATTGGTGTGGTGGGTGATAGGGAGAAAGGTCCAGGTAGGTGCTCCGGTGCCGTGAGTGCTCTCTTCCGTCTTCCCAGTACAGAGGGTCCGTGCAGTGCTCCTGTGGGGCTGGTCGGTCACACGCTGCTGTCTGTGGGAAAAATGAGAGGGCGAGTTAGTGCTCAGTCTCATGGAGAAGTCTCCCAGATGGCAGGGCTTGCGTGGCTTATGTGGCCGCCGCCTGATGAGCTGCAGCTGTGACCGATCAGCCTATGATGAGGACGGCCAGGTGTGCCTTGCTTGTTTCCAGGGCGACGCTGATGAAGCTTCGGGACGCTCGTCACAATATTTATTTAACTTTACCATAGTACATCGCTGATGTAGCATCCGTTTGACTGAATTGTTTGCTTTTGTCTTTATTTCCTATTACGTATATAAGCCTCTCATAGGCTACTTTATACTTATACTTGTATAATGGCTGTTATTGTTCATTAAAACGGACATTTAACAAAAAGAGGCAGGGTTGTGTTTTATGTCATATTTCATATTTTTTATACACACAGTTAAGATAATCAGACTATATATGTACATATTGGCTGAACCGCATATTAATATGCTTTATATTTGTAAAATGAACACGAAAAGAGGGTTGTATTTTACTTTTCGTTTTGTTATAAGTATACACACAGTAAAGGTGTTCAAACTAACAGCCACATTTTTGTGGCTATTAATGTTTAAATGAAAACGAAAAGAGGCATTGGTGTTTGATATCATATTTCTGTTTTATTGTAAATATACAAACAGTGAGGATAACCGGAGTAGCCAAGGCGAGCTGAGTGACGTTATCAAGTACGCTGCTGTTCCATTTGCAGAATTACTGGACTTGCGTCCTCCCGTCCTCAGGAGTTCACACTCCCGAGTCGAACTTGCCAAGTCTAAACTACCAAGGACGCAAGTCCAAACTTTGAGTACTTGGTATTGAGAAACGGCCTAAAACTTACTAGAGCGTTTGTAAGCGACAGGACTGAAAAATGCCAAAGATCAGAATTTGAGGAAAACTTTAAAGTGCAGAATTATATTAGATATTACACATAATTTGGTCGTAGAACATAAAGTACATTTAGGTGTGTGTATTTTGTGAAGCATTTGCAACTACTTCTTATCTCTTAATTAGGAGTACCACAATTAATCAATTCTGTCATCTGTTACAAATAGTATGGACCATAACCTTTATTCGGTTCATTATATGTAAGTGTGAACTCGTGAAACTTATATTTAGACATGTATTTTAAAGTGCAAAGTAATGAGGGGGAAAAAAGTGTAAATAAAGCTCTGTACAACACTGTTTTAAAAACTGTAAGTGTCCCGTTGAAAATGCATCATGTAAGTTCACAAGTGCAGTTTATTTCTCAACTGTAAGTCGCTTTGGATAAAAGCGTCTGCCAAATGAATAAATGTAAATGTGAAATTTTTTCCTGTTTTTAATATATTATTGTGTTTTATAATTATTATACTGTTTAATTTTGCTGAAATACAAGTGAATAACCAACTTCATTTAGCATTTCATATTAAAAAAAATAAAAAAATAAAAACAATGTCTTCTCAAATCAATAAATACCAGGTTCCAGTTATGACAACTTGCTTCATGTAGCATGACTGCATGTCCAGCTATTGGAACTCATTTGCATGTTGTCACAAAAGGTCAGTGTGTGTTGATTAATTGTACCTTTCTTTCCTAGGCAATAACTGTGAAAATGTTGAATAGCTTTTTTTTAGTCAAGACTATAAGGTGTCTATGCAAACGCTCACCTTTAAATATTAAACATTCCTGAGAAATATTCACTGGAGTAAAAGGTGTGACAACTTGCCCCAGTCTCGCCTATATATATTTTCACTATATCTCTCTCTTTAGCTAGCCTACATAAATACATGACAGGTACACAGAGTGCACTTCCTTGCACTGCTTTTTGTTCTGTTACTATACTAAAGAGTCTTACATAACTCTAAATAATAATTCATGCCTACCTTTCTATTGATTTTCCAGAACCTTTTTTTTTAATTATTTTCCTAAGCAGATCTCAAGCAGATATGTTTTTAAGACCAGACCTAAACACAGTGCATGTAACCAAGGCAACACTCTAGTCACATGGTCCACAGGAACACAAAAATACTGTCTGTCAGGTTGTGTTCAAGAGGCAGCAGCATTAGGTTCAAGAACCCAGTAGCGGAAGGGCGTAGATTGTTATTATAAGCTTGTTGTCCGGTCCAATTTAAAAACCTTAAAAATAATCCTCTTTAGGCACGGTAAACACTTTCACCGCGGTCAGTCCTCCACGCTGTTCTCCAACAGTATAGAGCTTCATTAAAACCAACCTTAACGATAACGACCCTTCACATTCAGCACTCGCAGTTAATCAAGCTTTCTGCGCTCTCATTAGAAGCGTTACGACCTCTTTATGTTAGGTGCTCTCGAGAGCTGTGGGTCATGCCTTGTTTGTTAGAGGCTTTAAAGGCTTCGTAAGTCACTTTCAGGACATTTACCGCTGACGTACTCGGCAAACGAAGGTCTTGTGTTAATCAGAGGCTAAAAAAATAAAGTTGAAAACAGGGTCACATCTGTCTGGGTCAGAGTTGTAGAGATGATGTCAGATGCCAGTCTTTTGTAATTATGCTATGGTTCCCCGCAGACCCAGCTCTGTGCTCGTTTACTTTTATGACTGCCCTCTTCCTCCCGCTCAGTGATTACAGCCAGAAGAATAACTTGTTAAAGCTGCTCTCGAAGGACCTGTCCTATAAAACTCTCCCAGTGAGATACAGGTGTGTCTCATGGCAGGTAGACCAGCCCTTAAATAGCATATGCTTGAGAGAGAGAGAGAGAGAGAGAGAGACAACATGCTGAATTTGGTTAATATCACTTGTGAGTAGGGATGCAACGATTATAGATTTTGTTGGTACGATTATTGTCTGAGGAATAATCACGGTTTCACGGTTATGACGATTATTATGCATTTATTCATTTCACAAAATTATTAATGTATAAAATCACATGGACACTCTTTAGATAATAAAGTGTTATTTATTGCTGCCTTTAGAAAGAGAAATAACACCGTAACCAATAATACAGCACAAAATAATAATAATAATAATAAAGACAAACTAAAGTCTATCTCTCCAATTGGAATTAAAAAGGTGACCTCTGCTCTGTAAACATCCATGTCAGTATTTCCCTTTTGAAAATAACTAATGAAAATAGATCACAAAAGTATATAGTGCTTTCAGTTTGTACTGCATTCTTTACATTTCTTTTGGACCGGAGGCAGAAAACTGGAAACATGGTAAAAAAAATATAGCGCGGTTAATTGTGAAACCGGTTAATCGCTGCATCCCTACTTGTGAGCGGTGCCATTTCCAATCAAGCTGTAAATTTTTAACATTTTCCAAAATGTGTGAAAATATTTAGTTGTGTTTAATTGTATCACATGTTGTATACATTAAATATTGTAAAAATGCCATTTTCATATAGATAGACAGACAGACTCGGCGTTCAGGCTGGCATCATAAAAAGAGCGGAGCGCGTCGTCCGGATAGCTGGTGATGTTCGTGACCAACAGGAACAGTTTGGTATGGTCCTCGAGAGCTTTGTCTCCCTGCTCCAGCAGGAGGAGGAGGAATTCGGGGCAAGTGAAGAGATCCATGGGGACACAACGGAAAGAAAAACACTGAGAAAAATAATTAAAGGGAACACGGCACACCTGGGGAGGGAAAACACAACACAAAGAGTCCAGGGGCGTGACAATTAGGTGGAAAACTGAAATAAATAGTACAAATAAATTTATAACATCTGTAAATAAAAATGAATTTACATTGAAGTAGCAAAATTACTCAAACTAAAACTTAAATAAAAATAAAAAGCCTAAATATAAATATAAAAAAAAATACAAAAAAATTTAAAAGCACATAGAATTAAAAAAATATATATATTTTTTTTCTTTTGTTTGTTTGTTTTGGGATGAATTATAATTTGGAAGAAATTAAGCCCTAGTCAGACAAAGAAGTCAGTCAGTTATTCACGAAAAGGTAAAAATAAATGACATTATAAATAAAAAATAAATGAGTGCTGAATTACTACCTTCATTTCCATCTCCCAATGCTATTAAACTCAATGCAATAGATAATTTGAGGTGTGCAGGAAATGACACTGGTGCAAATTGTCTTTACTTGAGAGAATCTAAATATATATGTACATACACTGTTGAACATTGTTTGTGGACAAATGAATAAGTTTTATGAGTTGTTTTTAGTCCAAAAGTTTAGTTGAAAAAGCACCAATATTTCCCATGTTACTCACCGAGCAACACACATTTTAAAATCCGGTCTGGAACACACGATGTAAGTGGAGCAATTTCCCTTCCATGCTCAAAGCATATACCAATCACTCCATTGCAGATCCACTCCAGATTTTTTATTTTCCCTCTCGCTGGAGAGAGGAACCCCAGTCGGAGTAAGAGAAAAGACAAGCTTTCACCAGCTCTTTATTTATGATGTTATAATCAATGTCAACCAATCAAATTGATAAACCAGAACTAATATGCATATATACAATATGCAATAAATCATTAAATATTTGTTTTAGATTATTTAACACTACATTACATTGCATTAGAAGCCTGTTTAAAGCATTTTTCTGTTTCTGATGAAGTCACAGCTGTCTTCAGTATAGACACAGCCAGACAGTGTTTCAAGGCAAACAGCGCTTCTCCTGTGGTCTGTCAAGTTAATGTTCGATTGGTCATGATCAATTTCTGGAAGCCAAACAATGTACCTTGAGATGAGTTGAGGGGTTGTTGAGGAGCTGTTTGTTGACTGTGTTCCTAATTGATGGAGAGTGTTGTGTAATTGCCTGCAGGGGATGATGTTTAATCTGCTAATAATGTCATTGAGTGATATTAGCTGGAGGTTGTATTCTAATTAAAATGACAGAGGCCTTTGCACAGTCTGGGGTGAACCTTAAAAACCCTGTCTGTTCTAACTGGTTTGTGCTTACTCCATCGCTGAACTCAGACGCATGTGTGGAGGTTGCCATGGAGAAGGTGCAAATTTGATAAATCTTAAAGAGGCTCAGACTAGATTGACCACATAAATGGGGCAAATTAAAGAAATTTTCCCGCGCTCAGATGCAAATGATGTTTTATTGGCAGCATTTATGGTATACTGTCGATTACAACAGAAAATGATTTCGACTTGCCCCTCAGTCTCTTTTGTAAAAAAAAAAATGCTAATACAGTAATACACTAAGTACATGAGCAGAGTAAAAAACAAACATTATGTACAAAAAATACTACAAGACTAGTTTTTCGTGGTTCATGGTATCAAACTTATTTATCCATGACATCACAACCTACCATAAACCTAATTAATATTTATTTGAACTGTAAAATATAATTAAATGATATATTCACAAAATTTAATTTGACTTAAAAATTAAGCAAGTTGTATTTTTATCTGTTTGTTTGTTTGCTTGCTTGCTTGCTTCCTTATTTATTTATTTAAATTATAAAATATAATTAAATTAGATATTTACATAATTTACATCAAAATCAAATTTTATTTAAAAAGAAGTCTGTTTTATATTTATTTGTTTGCTTGTTTGTTTGTTTATTTATTTATATATATATATTCATTTATTTGAACTGTAAAATATAATTAAATGATATATTCACGAAATTAAATTTGACTTAAAAATTAAGCACGTGTTATATTTATCTGTTTGTTTGCTTGCGTGCTTCCTTATTTACTTATTTAAATTATAAAATATAATTAAATGAGATATTTACATAATTTACATCAAAATCAAATTTTATTTAAAAAGAAGCCTGTCTTATATTTATTTATTTATGAAATATAATTAAATTACATATTTACATCAAGCCAAAATGAAATTTTACTTAAAGAAAATGAAGCCTTTTTAAATTTATTTGTTGATTTTTTTACATTTATTTACATTATAAAAATATTTTTTATTATCTTTACATCATGGTATTGTTGTTAATCATCTTGAACATTCCAGACAGAACTGATATTCATGAGCCAAATCTTCATTATTGTAGGATTCGAAATTTCTCATGCCTTATTGTGTCTACAGTTTCAGTTATTGCAATTAAACCCAATTATCCAACACATCCTGCTCTCCATTTGTGAAAGATAAGAGCACCATATTCGGTACTGCGCTGACATTTGTTCAGACTGACATAATAAGAGGCTGCTGAAAGCTTTTCATGGGCTGGACTGAATTCACTTTTCCTGAAGATCAATATCTTTCAAATCAATGTAGAGGCACATCCCTCTCTGGATCCTTATACTGATTCTATCTTGCGCTAATGGGCTTACCTCTGCCATATGAAACTCAGTCAAAAGCCATTTGGCTTGCTGTGCATATTTTCCTGAAGTGTCTGTGGTCTGACACTAATGTCTTCCTGTACCTACGAGGCAATTTAGTGCATTCATTACATGTTTTATTCTGTATGCCAATGCTGTATTGATTACACATTAATTCAGTACTAAATATTTAACATATCCATTACCAGTCTGATCATTTATAAACACTTGCTTGGAATTAAGGTTTCTGAGAACTTTATTATTGAATTTAATTTAGTTATCAATTAAGGTTTATTTTCACCCCGAAATCAAAAGAAATGTAATATATTGACATAAAATTTAGTAATAAACATAAAATTATTTTTTGTTTAAAGAAGAGTGTTTTAAGATTTATTGCATTGTTGCATTATTTTCATAACAAATTTATCACACACCCCTTTTTATTACTGTACTATCAAATTATTATTGAAATTATTTATTTACATTTTTATTTCAATAACATGTTTGACACAATATGATTACAGTTGACATTGTGTGATACTTTTTCAGAGAAATGTTATTGGGGTCGCCTGTTTTGTTAAATTTATGATAATATTGATAATAATAATATTGATATATTGAATGCAAACAATATTATATCTCGTAATCTATATATCATAAATCAACAAAAAAAAAGAAAATTGTGTGTGTGTGCGTGTCGTTAATATATATATACACACACTACAGTAAAAAAAAAGTAATATTGTGAAAAACTATTACAATTTAGAAGAACTATTTCAGATTTTAAAATGTAATTTATTCCTGTGATGCAAAGCTGAATTTTCAGCATCATTACTCCAGTCTTCATCCTTCAGAAATCATTAGCAATGTTATCGGTGTTGAAAAGAGTTTATCTAATATTAAATAATTTTGTGGATTTTTGCAGGATTTTTTGATGAACTGGAATTCGAGAAGCATCAGCAGGTACGACCGAGAGGGATGCACCGATTGCCTGTTGCTTTCAAAGAACGGATAAACAGCTCTGAACTGCGTGGTGCCCGGTCCTTCAGGGAACAGGAAGTTAATGTAGGCCTCGTTTGGGGAGGTATCGGATAGGCTTGAGCGTGAGTCATTCCTGCAGCTGTATCGAAGAGATCATTATATCACCACAATAGGAGGCTAATATCCGAAGGCGGAGGGGGCCGAGAGTTACATTGTCCCAAAATAGCTTTGTTTCCCCCCAGCGCTGTGTTTCCTGTTGGATACGGGTGGGGCGGAAGTGTGTACAAGGCCTCTTGCTTGCCTGGGTTAGTTGTGCTTATTGCTGTTTTGTGTGAAATAATGATAAAGTGTATCTCCGTGGCGATGGCTGAGTGAGTGAAATATGAGCGGTGAGATAAAGGCAGATCACTGGCGGCACTTCCGCTCCATCAGGAATTATCACTCTCACTCGATGAAATATCACCCTGCTCGAGCACATGCCCTCGGCTCCATTACTCTATGAATGTTATCAGAGTTGTTTTTTGTTTTTTTTGGCTTTCCTGGCAGAACAATTACGGAGCACAGGGCAAAGACAATGCTTCACTCACTCACTGCTCGGTGTGATTGAATCGTGTATGTATGTTGTGTGTGCTGTGAGAACCGAGCGCTTCAGTCAGTTCATCAGCTGTCGGTTCTTGACATATTGTAAAACATGCTGGCACGTTTCCTTCATTTAGCTCCTGCAGGGCTGCACACTGGCTGGTCATTCCAATCAGAACAGTAGTTCAGCACAGACCATCAGCCTAATTACGGATATGCCTCATTATACATTTGAAGGGTGAATGAAATATTACCTTTAAAAATATATTTTGTGATGAAGAGTTCAGGTTTGAAAAAGCACAGCACAGGATTTGCAAACCCCTAAACCGAATTGTTACTCTGTGTTATATGAATGATACCATACATTTTTATCTTTAAATATACAGTATATATATAGTATATAATATATATTTTAAAAAATGTTTTGAAAGAAGTATCTTATGCTCACCAAGGCAGCATTTATTTTATTAAAAATAAAGTAAAACTGTAATATTGTAAAATATTACTAGGATTTAAAACAGATGATTTCTGTTTGAATATATTTTAAAATGTAATTTATTCATGTGATCAAAGCTGAATTTTCAGCATCGTTACTCCAGTCTTCAGTGTCACATGATCCTTCAGAAATCATTCTGATATGCTGATCTGCTGCTCAAGAAACATTTCTTATTATAAACAATGCTGAAAAGAGTTGTGCTAATTAACATTTTTTTGGAAAACATTTTTGTATTTGCATTTTTCAGGATTCCTTGCTGTGTAGAATGCTCAAAAGAACAACATTTATTTAAAATAGAAATCTTAGAAATGTTTTTGTAACATTATACTGTAAGAGTCTTTATTGGTGTTTAATGTGTCCTTGCTAAATAAATGTATCAATTTCTTTCAAAAAAAAAAAGTATCCGGCCCAAATATAGTAATGTTTTTTAATTAAAAAAATTGGTGAATGTAAAAATTTTTTTTTTAAATCTCAAGTTAATGTAAACTTTGACAGCTTACACTCTCAGAAAAAAAGGTACTAACCTAAAAAATGCATCTTTGTACCTTTTTACCCCTAAATAGTATATACTAGTACTTTAAAGGTACATATTAGTATTTTAAAAGTACATGTTGGTACCTAAATTTTACCTTTTGAAAGGGTGAAAATTAAGTACCCTTTTTTCTGGGAGTTTGTGTTTTAACATTTTTAAATACTTATTAGAAGACCCTTTTTTGTCTCTGAAATATTCAGAGACAAAATAGTTTGTGGATTAAAAACCCCTAAAACCAAATATCATGGAGACTTGAAGGTGGGCTCTGTTGACTTTAATCAGGAAGCAACCACCGAGCAACACTGTATCTCCACCAAAGCGTTTTTAGCCAGCTGAAAATGCCAGGTGCTGGAGTGTTAGTGTTTGAGAGCGCTTCTGAGGCACAGCGTTTTTTTCAGTTGAGACGCTTTGGCTGCTATGATACGGAATATCCGCGCAAGTGTAACTAGTATTTGATTTTGCAGATAGTTTACTTATGAATATAAAAATTTTGAAACTATATAAATTACTTGCTCTGGCCCTTGTTAGGGACCAAGCACCTAAGGTGCTTAGGCACCTATTGTATCCATGTTTTCTTCTTCTTCTTCTTCCGCTCTGGGAGTCTATGGCAGCCCATAGAATCACTTGTGGAAAAGTTATGAAATTTGGCACACTGATAGAGGACAGTCTCTATATTAACCATAGCAAATTTGGAGTCTCTATCTCAAACTCTCTAGCGCCACCAATAGGCCAAATTTGCACTCATATTTCTGCTAATAACTTTTGAACTGTAAAGTCTAGAAGCAAAATTCTTTTTTACTTGACACACACCCCATTATTTTGTTTTCTTTTATTTGACCTTCATTAAGCAGGGTGGTCACTGAGAGGAAAACAAAGGAAATGGTGAAAAGTGATGGGATAAAAAAAAAAGAGAATTGATTGGGCTTTTCAAACCTCAAACACAATCCTGTTCCATATTTCACATTGTTCTTAATTTTCTTTGGGTTATTTGTTCACTGTAACCCTGTGCTAACCCTCTTTCCAGTGTGATGCATTACTTAACCCAGGGTTAAAAATTGACTTAATTAGTGGTTGACCAATATGGGATTCCACATGGTCAAAGCCAATGCGATATCTAAAGAACAGGGTGGCTGATGGCTGATAAAGTACAAAATTTATTCGCAACAATTCAAATAAAACGTGTTCATTTTTCATGGATCATGCTGACCGCTTCTGTTAACCAAACAACTGTGCACAGCTCTCGATTTATGCCAAAAATATACAAAAAGGCCAAATATTGGTCATTTAATCAGCCTGGTTGATAAGATCTCTAGAATTAACATGGTTAAAAAATATATACATGGTGTGTAAAGCTTCATAGATTTCAGCTATTTAAATTCAGAACAGCATCTGAGCAAATAACGTCTACATATGTTCTTTAGTTGAATCACATATGTTTCTTTTACAATCAGGGTTTTTTTTTTTTTTTTTAAGTTTATTAGAGACAGGATACATCTGTTAGTTACACTGCTATGATTCAATCTGTTCATCCACCTTGGTTATTTTTATTTTATTTTCTGTCTGTCATTCTACCAGCCATCCACCATTTGTGAATATATAGGCCTACTGTGTGTGTGTATATATATATATATATATATATATATTACTGTATATATACCACAGTTGTGGTCAAAATTTTACATACATTTTGCAGTATCTTGTTAATTATTTTACCAAAGTAAGAGGGATTTTTAAGTTAGTACTTACCTGAATAAGATATTTCACATAAAAGACGTTTACATATAGTCCACAAAAGAAAATAATACTTGAATATATAAAAATTACCATTTTCAAAAGTTTACGTACGCTTGATTCTTAATGCTGTGTTGTTACCTGGATGATCCACAGCTGTTTGTTTTTTGTTTTTTTTGTGATAGTTGTTCATGAATCCATTGTTTGTCCTGAACAGTTAAACTGTCAGCTGTTCTTCAGAAAAATCCTTCAGGTCCCACATAATTCTTTGGTTATTCTTAGGTATATCCCTTATCTTCAAATTCAAAGTTCAGGTTTACAACTCCTGGCTCTTAATGCATATGGAGCATCAGTGAGCATTTGAACCTTTTGTAATGGTCGCGTATGAGTCCCTCAGTTGTCCTCAGTTGGTCTGCCCCGTTAAAACCCTCTGCATATGGATCCTCACGAGTCTCCCGAGTCTTCAATGTCACTATGTATATGTGTGTGTGTAATATTTTTAAAAGAGTCTCTTATACTCACTGCATTTATTTGAATACAAATACACTAAAACAATAATATTGTGAAATATTATTACAGTTTAAAATATTTGAATATACTTTAAAATGTAATTTATTCTGTGATGCAAAGCTGAATTTTCAGCATTATTACTCTAGTCTTCAGTGTCACATGATCCTTCAGAAATCTTTCTAATATGCTGATTAGCCTCTCTTTTCAACCAATAGGAGCGTCTTTTGCTGTCCCTGCTGCCCGCACACATTGCGAGGGTGATGAAGGCAGAGATCATTCAGAGACTGAAGGGGCCTAACTTTGGGCAGGCGGAAAACGCCAACAACTTCCACAACCTCTACGTACAAAGACACACCAATGTAAGGTAGGACTTGTATCACACATACTAGTGAATTCCGTGCACTCAGCTGAATTATTTTAGGCAGCCTAGAAAGTATATACATAGAGTACAACGGGGCTAAAGGCACCCCGGGGTAAAAGGCGCCTTTGATATTATTTTCATCTAAACCACTAGATGGCACAAAAATGTGACGTAGCACTTTCCAAAACACCCGCTTTTCAAGATGCATGTGTATTTTTGTCTGATCCTTGACGCGATCGCACGCAGCAGTGCAAAGTTGATTCTGTGCTTACTTGATCTAATATTTTATGTTTTTTAAAATGTTGTAGATTTAAGTAGCAAATGAGAATCGCTCAAATTAATGCATATATTTTGAGACAAAGGTCTTCTTTATGATTTTCAGTTTTGTTTTAGATAATTAAAGCAACAGTTTTTAAATAACAAAAGAATATGT